TATTTCGAGATGACCGAATTACAAGAATCCAACCAAAACACAGAGAGGACGGAATTCAGGAATTTGTATTTAGCGGAATTATACTGCAATTCATATAAGAAATATATTAACAATCAACAGTAAGTATTTAAACAATACAGAGATAGAAATTGTCAATCACCACATCCGCCACACGTCGAACATCTCCTTGAGTATTTATAACGATGTCTTGGTTTGCTTGCAAGTAGCTGCAACCTTCTAACTGATTCTGTGATATTATTTTCACCAGTATTATCTGGACTTATTTCTGAATTATCTACAAAATCAGGATTAGTAGCGGAATCATTAAAATAATAATTGGAACGACCTACCTCATTTATTGTCACTTTGTCCAGGTGTCTGTTATGAACTGAGTGATCTTTGATGTCTAATATCTTCACCACTCGATTTCCCACTTTTTATAGTATAATTCCAACAGAAGGTTTATAGTCATTCCCTTTGTAATAATGTACATTAGAAGTCACGGACATCAGATGCTTTTTAGGAATTCGAGATTTCAATAGTTTTGCAGGACTTTCATGGATACTTGTATGTTCTGCATTCAACAGACGCAGTCTATGCATATGCAACAATTCCTCCATTTTAATCAGCTGCTCTCTCATCTCATTCAGGTTTTTTCGTGTTTTCGACAGTTCGCATTGTAACTCGGCTACGTTGTTTTTGAAAACAATTGACGCTTGAGTTGCTGAACTTGTAGTGGAGGTTTTCATTGGATGAGATTGAGTATTTTGAAAAGTTGAAAGATACATTGACTCCATTTTACTAGACAGATTGGGAGAATTATAAGAGTGCTGAGTAACATAAGTATTCGAACTTCTGCAAACAGTCTTGATGTGTCCAACTTTACCACATTTATGACACTCGGCACCCCGAAAACAGCAAGTGCTTCCTAGATGTAACTTTACACAGGATAAACACGGTTTGATGTTTTTGATCTCTCGCTGCATTCTATTACCTGTGGATGACAGTTTGGATTGCTTTCCATGAACACTTGTATCTTCGACTTTGGACAACATGACATCAGATACTGACGTAGTGGGAGCAGAGTATTCACTGTTGACATATTCATATGTAATACATAAATCTTTAGCAGTTTGAAAGGTACAAGAAGGAATCTGAATTAACTCTTTCTCTAAATTAGGAATATTGATTCCAGCAATTAGACGACCACGTAGTTGAGTATGCAGCTGATCTCCAAAGGTACAGTTTGAAGCTTGTATTTGAAATTGAGGAATGAAGTCTCTTATCTTCTGATTGGGAGCACGAACCAGTTTATGGAATTGAGCCCTCTCTCTGGTCTCAAATGTAGTTACATGAAAGTGATTTATCAGAAGTTCACGAATCCTGACATATGACAGAGAAGTAGGTTTATCTGGAAACGCCAGATTCTTCACTAGGCTATATGCATCAAGCCCAATAGCAGTGATGAAATGTGCTGGAATTTTGTCATCCCGAACGTTCTGTGAAATGTACCATGCATCGAAGCATTCAAGGTAATCAACAATTTCCCGCGGTGAACCATTTATAGGAAATTTTCCAAGGTTATTTAGTTCCATCGCGACGCCAATTTGTTGTAATTATTTGTAATCATAGTATTAGTATTTCGAGATGACCGAATTACAAGAATCCAACCAAAACACAGAGAGGACGGAATTCAGGAATTTGTATTTAGCGGAATTATACTGCAATTCATATAAGAAACATATTAATAATCAACAGCAAGTATTTAAACAATACAGAGATAGAAATTGTCAATTATCACAATTTCAAACAACGTCACAACGTCACATTTGCCTGTCGGTGGCACAGTGGTTAGGACTCTCGCCGATCATGCACATGGTCCGAGGTTCGATCCCCTGCCGATGCACACACCTGATATCTATGGTCGGTCTACAAAATTTGGACTACCGATATCACATGCTGAAAATTTCATACTTGTACCAAAAATACGTTGTGGAATCAAGCTATAATCAAAAAGAAAATTTATATAAAAATTTAAAGGACACTGTTTATTGGGATTTAAGAATTAGGTGGATGACAAATGACACTACTCTTGGTGATACAAGTGGACGAAAATTTCCAAGAAATTTTCGTTTAAATTTTCGATTTCAGGATAAAACAGCTAGTTGGTTAGATCATTCAACTATGAACTAGCTTGACAATACGTAAGACGAATCCAAATCCCATACAGAATATGCTTTGCTTTAGAAAAGGAGTCAAATGTATTCGATGTACCTACCTTGGCTACACATCCACTTTTGACTGTGAACCCAGATGTCTTTTGTCAAAAAGGCTATCTTAGACACAAACCGAGTCTTGGGCTGTTAACCGGTTGAATTCTTATCTTTCGAACAGAATGCATTACACTGAACATAAAGGCGAATCTTCCTCTATCTTGCCTGCTGTTAAAGCCGTTATCCCTCCAGATGTTGTCGTCGCTTCTCCTCTTTTTCCTTTCTTCTTACATGACTTGTCTTTTCCAGATAAAATCAACTTGATGAAATATGCTGATGATTCGACTGTCTCGTTGATAGATACTTCCCGATCTGACGGTTCCAAATTGAGTGAACAGCTTTTTGTTGAACATAAATCAGTGGTACAAGTCAACTGGTTTTATAATAAATCCTTCTAAATGTCAGATATAATAATTTTACCTTCAGACATAAACATGATCTACAATAAGTAGTTTCTTCATATGACGTTTGTTCCATAGAGAAGCCAGTGAAATAGAAACTAAGTCAAGCATAAAATATCTCGGAATTAAACCTGTCCTCTAAAATTTCTTGATCATCCCATCCCATATCTTGTCGACTTCTTAGAAATTGTTCTGTCTAACCTTCCACACTAAGAAGTTGAAACAATCAGGCATGATTTAACGCCTACTTTTAGAAGTTGTTAACTCTTGCATCTTACCGACTGTTTTTCATCGCTTCCCTCTTCTTAGTCTTTTCTGGGTCATTCGCTCATAAAATACTCTGTCATATTGTGAAGGGTATTCAAGGTTGTCAGTCGGGCAAGTAGTTTACTGTCACTATGGATAAGATTTTATTTTGATAGTGTTACACAGTGTAGTGTTATACAGTAATATTAACTGATGACCACGTTTCGAGCACAAACTATTACCACTCATAATCACATCAAGTTACCCACTCACACAACTTTCTGGCTTCATTTATATACATGTGTGGAATAGACTAGATATTTGAATAAAAATCAATATGGGATAATGTACATTCAGAAATAACAATATGAGTGTTATTGATGGGAAATAAGACGAGTGTTTTTATAGTCATAATAATAAGTAACTTGTTAGAATGTTATGATGTACTTGAATTGAATTGAAATAAAATTTTAAGATTATTTATTATCCTCCTCTGATTCGACTGACTAACTGACTGACTGGTGGTAATAATACCTTCCATATTTCTGGCATTTACATTGAGTCATTTCTGTTGCATGTGTTGTGTTTTGTGTAGACCCAATGAACGAGGATTCAGTAATCAATCTCTCTCTCCCCCTACCTAGATTACTTTCTAGAATTTTAACCCTGTACCACTCACCCTATTGTGTGGTTCTTTGTTAATGCATGAAGTGGAATTGCTGAACTTTTTTCTAAATTACTTATCTTTTCAGGGTCAATCATTCTTCCCTTAGCTAAATTCTTATGTTCTGATAATCTGACTATCCCTGACCTACTAGTGTGACCTATGTAGTTGGGGGTAGTCAGATTATCAGAACATAAGAATTTAGCTAAGGGAAGAATGATTGACCCTGAAAAGATAAGTAATTTAGAAAAAAGCTCAGCAATTGCACTTCATGCATTAACAAAGAACCACACAATAGGGTGAGTGGGAGAGGGTTAGAATTCTAAGCAGTAATCATTACAAAAGATTACATACTCACTCGTACAATGAAGTATAAAAACTCAACGATACCCTATTTGTCCCTCCCGCGTTCTATGTGATAGAGACACTCACTGTTAAGTGTTAAACTTAGAACAAGTTGCTGCGTAATTAGCAAAATAAATGACTAAATGATGGATGGTGACTAGCAGGATGCGCATTTCATCCTATCTGAGACTCATCAGCTGGATTCGCCTGTGTTCCGTAGTGATTGATGATGTTCCTCCTGAGACTCGAACCTAATGCCCACAGTTCAAAACGCCAAAGCGTTATCCATTAGACCACTTGGGTCAACAAAGCAACTTCTTGTGCAAAGGGTCTTTTTAGTTATTTAATTTAATGCAGGTAGATAGTTGCTTGGGTTCTAGTGAGAAGTCGTGACCACTGGGATACAGCATGTCGGATGTGAGGACAAATACTCACCACGGATGACATTCTCTAGTGGTCACACCATATCATAAATTGGCAGAAGCTGAGATTCATGGATTGGCCATTAGATCGGTTGCCAGTGGCTAAATGGTCTACGAGCTCACTCGACTCGTAACTAGAAGGTCCCGTTTTCGAACCCCAATGCGTACATACCATTGAAGAGTCCCAAACTAGACTGACAAAACAGCTATTCGGTACTGCTGGGTTTTCCAATGTTCCTCTAACCGACGTCAGTTCATGATTGAGTCCTGAAACAAATTATTGTTATTAAAATTGGGACGGGTTCCCCACATACTAGTGTTGACTGTCATGAAACCTATATCTGGTTGAATGATGATAGCCTATTATGACTGCCTCATCCTATTTAACCCTAATTCATACATGTATATCTAAATGTCAGAGTTGATCAAATAATATGGAGGTAAAAGGTGGGATAATTCTTCCAAAACCACCCTAAATACAAGTGTTTATTGACTTCATATAGGCATATTTATTAAAATATATGACATTTAATGACAAACGTTTCACTGTCAAACTAGATGGCTTAATCAGTGTGCATTTTTGTGAATAATGTATTCAAGGCAAGTCTAAAAAAACCCTTTCTACGTCTCTTTAAATTTATTAATACAGATTATGCATGATGAGGTCAGTGAGACAGAGAATATAAGAAAAAATTTGGCCATTGAACGTATGATTGTAGATGGATGCGATCTATTGTTGGATGTCAATCAGGTATTTGTACGTCAAGGTGAGTGATTCTCATTTGATTTAATCGATATACTATTGATTATTATGACGATTACTTTTTTTTTAAAAATGAGGAAACCTTTTTTGTTTCATTCCATTTGTGTATTGAATGGAATATTAGTGGGGACCAAAGCCGTGGTGTTTTTACGCCAACATTTCCTGTTTTCTAGCCTCATTATTGGCTAGTTGTCTGTGATAAGTCTAAGGATTGCAGAACTATAGATGTCTTCGGTGAGTATCCCTCCATTGGGCCACTAATGTATGCAAGTTATTCAGCTTTTGACAGATCTTGGAGAAATTTGTTAGTTATGTTCTAAAATACTGTAAATTTGTATTAGCATTAGTTGCAATGACTAAAACTCTCAACAAATTTGATTTGAAGGCAGCAACTAATCGATGACTCCTTCTGTACAGCCTACTGAACTTCCAAGAGTGACTCATAGTCCAGAATTATGTTCCAGATGTGTCCTTGACGTACTCAGTAACAAACCTAGTCTCTCTGCTCTGAACATCATCCTCATTGGCGCAGACAAAGATTGACAAGTACCCTTCATATGTTCTTTCCAAATGTGTATACCAAATCACATGTATCTGAGGGACCAGTGACACTGGGAAAATAGAAAGAAGGGCCTATATCAGATCCTTTTTGGACATGTACCAAAAAGCTTCCAATTAAAGGGACAACACAGTCTAAGCTGTTCAATCACCAAACACCTGATAGACACGAGACAAAGAGAATAATAAAAAGACAGCTGAAGCAAAGAAAATATTCGTTTTGCGAAGTCATCAACTAGACAGTTGTACATTCATGTGTATTTATTGATAAATATGTGGGAAAGTTCCAGAATTATTTCTGGTCAAGGGTCGCATTAATAAAATTACATTTAGGAATTAAAATGACATAATAAACAGAGGGATGGGGCGGATAAAACTCAAACAAAGTAGCATCAGAATTACTAAGAAGATTGACACTGATTGTGCAATTAGGGGGTTAGAAATGTAGAAATAACAAAAATAGACAGGATGTTTGGATAAAGATATCTAATGTGACGAATAATTGTTTATGTAATTAGGGATTAAATATGTAGAAGTCGTTAAATGACAAAATAGATAGGAAGTTCGGATATAAAAATATGGTAGTGTCAACAGGGATTAAGACAACTTAAAAATAACACGAATAAACAGGAAGTTTGGATAAGAAAGCCATTGGAATAGTCACTATGAAAAGACGCCTTGTAGACGCGCTCAAATCTTCTTCACCTTGCTATGGTTATTGCTACGAAACGTCTGAAACTTGATGTATGTGTCTCAAGGGAATCTGTTATTGAATCTTAATTACTCTGGTGATATTCTTTCCTTAGTAACACTCTTTGTTTTCTAATTTCATTAAATTATCTTTCCACCCTCCCCCTTCTTTTTTCCGTTTGACTTTCATAAAAGAGATAATTAATTCTCTTTCCCGAACTTCTGAGTTCTTCAAGTATTGGTTTGCTAGGGGATTTGACTGATTGATTATGGGATTTCGGGTTATGAGCTGACATTGGTTAGAGAACCATTGGAAAACCAGTCAGGGAGTACTGGACAGCCAGCTGTTTCATCCGCCTAGTTTGGGGCTCTTCAGCAACCAATTAACCAAATCTTTAAAAACCCAATATTTGAATAACAATGAGATGCTCACTGGCGACTGGCCCTATTTGGGTAGGTAGTTACCTGGAGTTCTAATGTGACGTCATGACCAGTTGGGTGCAGCAGGTCGGGTGTGAGGGCAAATACTCGTCGAAGACATTAGATAGGTGGGTGCGTGCTGATGAAGAACCCCAAACCAGACTGACGAAACAGTTGTCCACTACTCCCAGCTGGTTTTCCAATGGTTCTCTAACCGACCTCCGCTTATGATGAAATCCTATAACTTCTGAGTTCTGTTCACTGTATTACATCATCGCCTTTTCAGTCGACCTGTTACACACACACACACACAAATCTGATTTTCTATTATCTAACTAGGTAGTTGCTACTAATTTTTGTTACCACCCTAACAATAAATTTGTCAATTAGTCTTTTGAGGAAATTCCCTCTAACAAGATGGTTGCGCTTGTGAAAAATCACGAATTGGTAAAAGTTAAAATTCATGCACTGGCCATTGAATCGAGTCCCAAAGGCTGAATAGTATACGAGCTTGTCTTGTAACCTCAAGGTTCTGGAACCAAACCCCTGTGGTGGGTGCGTACTGCTGAAGAGTCCCAAACTAGGCTGACGAAACAGCTGTCCAATACACCCTGGTGGTGGCTTTCAATGTTTCTCTAACTGGTATGAACCCGTGATCAACTCGTTATAAACAAAACTAACCCTGACAATCCAAACTATAGAAGATATATAAATATATATATTGTTATACTTCAGACACCTTATCGTCGTGATGTTTTATTTCATTATGATGCTCTCATGATATGCGTAGCAGTAGACAAAAGTATGTTAAAATTGTATACTGAATTATATGATTATTAGGGATTATAGGTTGTACGCAGTTGAAGAGAGCCAGGGAAATAGAATGGATCCATTTTGTTCTGCACCAGTGTGTTTGTTCTTTCTTTGCTCAAATTTATAAAAGGGAATTCTTGTCAAAGAGTAATTAACCCAGCCCAGCTGTAAAACACACTTAAGAATCAAGAAGGATATTGTCAAAGTGTTGGATGGGATCAAAAATCTGTCTTGAAACATTCGAATTTGCTTAAGAAAACACGAATTCAGGTCTCAAACTTAATCATAATTTATTCATGAAAAAAACACATGAACTCAGAAAGTAAAAAATCGAAAGTGTTGACTGTTTTTAAAAAAAATCGGTGTTCTTAAGAATACAATTTCGAGTGGAACATAGGGCTTCAACAACACATCCCCACTTTTTTCCATTTTCTGCCATTCTCTTCAGCTGTGTCCACGACTGGCCATAATCTCTCATCCTCTCCACGTCACCCTTGCATCGGCAACACACTTGTCACTTCGCCTTTGGATTCCACTAGAGGGCCTGGCGTGCAATGACATTCGGCGGCCTCCTGAATGTATGCCCTATTCATCTCCACTTTCTCCTACATATTTGTTAAGTGATCGGCTGTTGATTAGTTTGTTTGTTCCCAGCCAGTGTTTCTTGCTGTTGATCCATTCTTTCTGGCGGGCTGGCCACCTGATCTTCGTCATGCAGCCAGTGCAGTAGGCAGCTTATGACAGAAGTTTATGCCTTGCTAAAAATGCTTTTCGGGACGAGTGAGGAGTGCAAGTTTCCGTCTGACTGATTGACTGACTTCACATTTAGGCTGAATATGGTTCCGAATCTTGTTTGGTAATGCTGGCTGACTGATTGAGTGAAGTAGAAGATTTCCAAACTGTTTGCCGACTGATGAGGACGTACGTCGCCTTTCTAATTCTAGTTTGTTTTGACATCTTCATCTGTTCCGCTGGCCTATGGTTGCAACGATGCTTCCTAGATAAGTGGAGGAACTAACCTCTATCAAATCTCTCTCACTGCTGATGATTCTTACTGGTTATTGCCGCTGATAGTGATGATTGGTTATCTTCATGACCCCTGGAGTTCTGTCTTTACTTCTGTCTTCACTGCCTCTTCCACCAGTTTGTTGGTTTTTGAGTTTTTTGTTAAATAAGACATGAATCATCTGCGAAATCCAGATCTTCCAGAATCTTCTTATCAGTCACTCCAACGTTTACCTATCGCCTCACTTCCAATGCACAGTCTGACGCATAAACCAGTCCACCAGAATTAAGAGTCTTATCAGTGATAACAGGCAGTCAGCCTTGTCTTATTCCCGTCTCCACTTCGAATGCCTCTCTGAATTTTCCATTGTGTATCACTGGACACGTGATGGCAATGTCATATAGCCAGCTGTTGAATGAGATGGATAAATACTTGCGCACTCCACGCGCCAGCGTTGAAGCAGTTTCCAGTTTACTTCTCAGTCAACGCGGTCGAAAGCCTTCTCGAATTCCATAATTTACTATGTACATATATGCATGCGGTTGTACATATTGAGAATTGAATCGCCGAAAAGAGCAACTCTTTGTTCGACGTCCAGCAAATTTTGAAGCTTTGCGAATGCATTTATATGATTATGAGGAGTAAATCCTACTCCAAATGTCATCCGGCTATTATGATTATTATTTCCTTTAATTCATAGAGGAACATAGGACTTCAGCCGCGCGTCTCCTTTGCCTTCAGTTCTCTGTTAGAGTTTTTACCTGGCTCCAAGTCTGCCCACACGCTTTCATCTCCTCTTCACATGACCTCCTTCAAGTCAGCCTTGCTCTGACGACCAACTCGCCGCTTCCCTCTCGGTATGGTTCCATTCGAGCGATGGCTTGTCTAGTGATGTCAATTGATGGTTTCCTCAGAGTATGGACAGCCAATCTATCTCCATTTCTTCCTGTAAATTTGTTGCACAGTCGGTTCCCGCTAAGTTGGTTCACTCATTACCAGAGATCCGTGTTGCTGATCCCTTCCTGCCAGCCATCTGATCTTGAGTAGTGTTGAGCAAAGACAGTTGTTGATTAAGGTCTGTAGTTTAATTGAGATGCTCTTTATGACGCGCTGATCCGTATAGCAAGTAGCACTGACTTCACATTGGAGTTGACAATCCGGATCTTATTTTTGATGCTGAGTGTTGAGTGTTCATCTCCACACAGACTTGAGAGTAATGAAAGCTTGTCTTGCTTTCCCGATCATTGCAGCTTTGATATCCTCATCAGTTCCATCCGCCTGTAGTTTAAACTATGCTTTCGAGATCGGAAGGCAAAGGAGGTTATTTCTTTCAGGTTTCTTCGGATTGTACTGATTGTTGTCTGTTGTTTTTGTTGTTTTCTCTATGTTCACTTGAAGTCCTATCTTTGATATCCGCCTTTTCTGCCAACTTGTTGCTTTTCCCTTGCATATCTTCCAGTGTTTGTGGGAAATCAGACATATATCATCGGTGAAGTCCAGATCCTCTAATTTTTTTT